TTTGGGGCCACTTATAAAGATATAATATATTATATATTATATATACATGAGAGAGCGAGAGAACAGTGGCCAAATTAATGCTTAATGGCAAAGGGTCGCTTATGAGAAACACTTGGAACCCCTCTCTCCCCTCTCATCTGGACACAAATGGCCTGAAGATGTGTCCATATTATTCTTATTTGAGGTGTTACCTTAATGGGAACGTGCCAGTACATAGGGCTAAATTTTACTACAGATCGTAATTGAACCATAGCCTAGTGAAAGGGTATATAAAATGTTTAAATTTTAGTTAAGGTTTTTAAATATATCCCTTATACTATATTACTTGCACATTTCGTGAGGAAAGGATAGTGTCTCATTAGGGAGGTCACCTTATTCAGGGGGTGTCCTTACAGCGGGGTTCAACTGAACCGGTGCACCACCCATTAAAAGAGTGTCTCATTAGGGAGGTCACCTCATTAGGGGTGTCCTTACCACCGGGGTCAACTGAACCAGTGCACCACCCATTAAAAGAGTGTCCTCATTAGGGAGGTCACCTCATTAGGGGTGTCCTTACAGCGGGGTTCAACTGAACCAGTGCACCACCCATTAAAAGAGTGTCCTCATTAGGGAGGTCACCTCATTAGGGGTGTCCTTACAGCGGGTTTCAACTGAACCAGTGCACCACCCATTAAAAGAGTGTCCTCATTAGGGAGGTCACCTTATTCAGGGGTGTCCTTACAGCGGGGTTCAACTGAACCACCCATTAAAAGAGTGTCCTCACCCTCCTCCTTGTTGAAGGGGTTTGCCTTGTCCTCGTCTGGAGTGGGTGGGTGGTGACCGGTCACCTGCTCCAGACTCCTCTCCGTGGCCCTCATGATGGAGTCGACTATCTGCTGCACCAGCCGCTCACTCCCAAACTCACCTACAACCACCACCAACACCAGAGAAATGGTGGACAATGTGAACTCGAATGCACAGACAGATATTTGCACGTGAAACCTTTTCAAAATGTCAACCCCCTGATACACATGTTACATACATACATACAAGTGAAGGGAGAAAACAACAGTGGCGGACTATGAATGGCCATGATACTGCAAATGAATGGGTATGATGGGTTGTCAATGCAACATTTTGCATGCAATATAGACTTGTTGTCTCTGTCCTGGGTGTAGTTGACTTGATTGCCTTGCCTTCTATTACCTGGCTACCTCTGTTGTTGACACATGCAGTTTCGTTGCATGGACCCATCATGCCCATACTTTTGAAGTTGCATGCAATTTTTTCTCAGGCAACGAAGGTGCAATGTGTATCATGGCCTTAAAGCTATTGCCTATTCAAAGCCTTTGTGTTTATTTATGTACTATAACTACAGCTGTTTATACATACTAACATTATTCATACATGTATGTACATAAAGAGTGTACACTGTCTATACGCACATAAAAATGCAACCGAAGTTTTCACACTACACTAATCCTTCTTGTGATGATTCACACAACACACTACATGTACATAATGTGGATCATTTGAACCTGGAAAATGGTCGTTGATGACCTTCTGGGCGATGTCGTAAGCGTTGGAGTTTCTCTCGGGATCAGACTCTCTCTGGAACCAGTGGACCGTCAGCTGAACTGTCCGGTTCCCAAACGTCAGAGAGAGAGGAATCCTGTGGTGAGTGTCACATGACATCAGGTGAGGGTCACATGTTTATATGTTATTGTCTGTGTTTTTGTACGCTTGGGTATGTTATTGTCTGTGTTTTGTGTGCTTGGGTGGGGGAGGTTCTTTCTTTTCCTCTGAGCTAGTATGCTATAAACATGTTTTTTCATGTAAAAAAGGAAAACAACATAATGACACCCAGACAGTTCCATGAAAAAAAAGAATTGCCCTGGGTGGGATTCGAACTGTAGCGTAGGCAGAGTCCTCTGAGCTACAGTATGCGTCAAAAAAACGTTTCCACTATCGTTCAACACAATACCGTTTGGTTTCGCCGTATTCAGCCAAAAACCGAACGGAAACCGCGCGCAACGCCGTTCTATAACGTTTCGTTTCGTTCTTGTACGGTTCCGTTCCGTTTCGTTCCGCGGAGTACCGCGCGGAGTCCAAGTGCCGCTTTTTTCGCCGAAGAAAGCCAGGCTCGCTGGAACACCTTCCGCTTCCCAGACGCGCTTCGTGCTCTAGGCCGCCTCCTCACAACTAGGAGAAGCCTTGGGACGCGTTTTTCAAAAGTGGGCGTAGCCCCCAGGCCGCTAATCACTCGCGCGTTCGACGATCTCTGCTGGCACAGTCAAGACGCATAAATGAAACGAAACGGAACCGAACGAAACGAAACGGAACGATTCACTAGGCAAAACCGAACGGTACCGCTGCCAAAAACGGCAAACGAAACGAACGGTAATTACCGTTCACCGGAACGGAACTGAACGATAATGGAAACGTTTTTTTGACTCATACTGTACCTACCAGGGCACAGGGCAGCTCAGCTGGCATGGGCTATAAAATAAACAACAACGTAACTGCATGTTTTGTTGTGTTGTAGATTCAAACCCCTACCATCTGAGTTGCCCTGGTAGCTCATTTGGTAGAGTGCTCGCCTAGACTGCACCCAGGGCAGCTCTTCTTTTTTGAAAATAAAGAGCTGTCCTGGGTGTAGTTGACTTGTTTACCTTGCCTTGCCTTTCTACCTCGTTACCAAGTTGTTGAGACATGCATGCCCTGGAATAGTTTCACTACTGAAAGTGTGAGTGTGCATGGAGCATAGAGAAACTGTCAAAGCAAACCAAACAACGCGACGACACCCAGGACAACTCTTTCTTTCAAGAAAAAAGAGCTGTCCTAGATCCAAACTAACGGCACTGGCACTCTTAGGTGAGTGTTCTACCAGCTGAACTACATATGTACCAGGGCAACTTAGCAGGCAATGGCTCATAACAACTGCAAATGCTGTAACTGTGCCATGTCACGTGACTGTCATGTGACCCCTACCTCTCTGGGAGGTTGTCGTACTCCTCTCCGTCCCAGTAGTGTCTGTAGCCACACCCACATTGGCTCCGGACGGCCGGGGTCATGGTTCGGTCTCCGTTCAAGTACGCTATTGATCCGTCGGCTCTGAGGTGACGAGTCACTCTGGTACAGTGGAAACAGGCAACCTACAGCAATATGGTGAACATAGGGGTGGCATAAAATAAAAATACATACGAAAAAATTAATGAACTTGTGTTCACTCGCCATGCATTTTGGGCGAGCGAATGCGAGTAGTTCAATTTTCCGCGTGAGTATTTAGAATTGTGTACGGCATGTGCAGTGCCCGACGACCCATATATTGATAGGTAGGCTCTCTTTGATCGCCAATTATACGCACGCATGAACACTGCTTTTTCGGTCAGTTCTTCATGTAAGACTAAGTTTTGAGTCACGAAATCTGTTGGTCAGCATTTTCATTGTTCTTAGCTCGTAACCCATGTTCATATCCTGTTTTTTTTATGGCATACTATGCATTGGGTAACCAACAACAAATTTCGTGACTCAAAACCAAGGGCTTTTTCACTTCACGAAAAATTCAGCAACATACTCTGACACCTTCCCTAACTAGAACTATGTACATGTTGTAGCTCGACCACTTTTTCTTTCACTAAAATCAGTGTTTACATGTACATAATTAACCCCTGAAACGAGGATACCTCTCTAATAAGGACACTACTACTTGTGTATAATTAAAGGACCCCATTATCCCATTGGTGTCAAGAACCTGAAATGAGGGGACCTCTCTAATAAGGACACTATTTCTTTCTCAATTCAAGGACACCGCTGACTCATTATTAGTGTCCGTATTAGAGGGTTCCTCGTGTGCCTCACCTCTGAGGGGACGAACGATTCCGTGGCGGCAGAGTAGGTGGCGATGACTCCTTCTCTGGGGAACTGGTACACCATCTTGTCTGCCAGCTGGTGGCTCGACGTGGCCTGCTCGTACAGCAACCCACCCTTCTCTAGCCACTGTACCGGGACGCACGTGATCAGGTTGCAGATGAGGCAGCGAAACAGTCGCTCATCCTCGACTGCCGATTTCGTCATCTCGACCACGAGCCTCGGTTTGATCGCCGCGTAGCCCGACGTCCGCACAAACTGGTGCATCTCGGCCACAACCGATATGTGGATCCCGTTCCTCTCGAAGAACAGAGTCTCCATGCATTTGACCAGCTTCTGAATGTACGCGTCGCTGAGGAGTTTCCCCCCGCAGACTTCGACCGAGCCGTCGTCGTCAAATCCAACGTACTGTTTCACGAGATCTTCGCCCACACCCCAGACCTTTGGGCAGAGCGAGGGAGGGAGTTTGGGGAGCGGTTGCCCGCGGATGGGCACGAGTGGAACGAAATGGTTCCGCCCGCTGCTGCTCCACGCCACCACAATCGGAGAGTGAGGACACGCCTTCTTTGTCTCAGGGTCCACAGAGCTGCAATCACTAGGTGGTTGAATGGCGGGGAGAAACAGTCCGGAGTAATCGCCGGAGGACTTGAGCCCCGAGAGAGAATCGAGAAGGACGATCGGTCGACGGAGGACGTTGGCGAGACCAAACACGTGGATATTGCGTAGCCCGTGGACTTCTCCCTGCTGAGGCTGGTAGTCGGGTGCCGCCTCTGCGATAATCTTGTCCCACTCCTCCTCCTCGTAGAACTCCTTGAACATGGTCTTGTAGCGGTTGATGTTCTCCGTGAGGTGCCGGTAGAGCCCGTGACGGAGGGCGTGCCAGAACAGCTCTCGTCCGACGAGGCAACGGGAGATGGCGTGGACCAAACAGTGTCCGTCGCCGTCCGCGTGGAGTGGGACCAGACCGGTCTTGTTCCCGTTGGCGTCCCGCAGTCGCTGAAGCGTCTCGGTGAGATAACGGGCGGAGCCGGAGCGGTCCCGGCCGTATCCAGACGTCTCAAGCTGTGCCTCTTCAATGGAGAAAGCTCTCGTTGCAAACTTGGAACAATCAAAGCTGTCGCCCATCCCGAGCTCCGTGAGAGGCCTCGCTAACCCGGTCTTGTTGTCTCGACCGAATGTCGTGAGGAGGGGGGAGAGCAGCTTGCACTGGTAATTGGATATCCCCCTCACCTGGACCAGTTCGGGCACCTTCTTCTTCATGGGGGTGAAAGCTTGCCGGAAATGCTGGAGGCTCAACTCGACTTGGTTCTCTTTCTCTCCCAGCACGACGCTGTCACGGATGCTGGAGATGCTGTGACGCTGGCCGCAGCCCGGGCACTCAACGCTCGCCTCGTGCGTCGGATAGTACAGTTTCATGTGACATTGTTCGTCCGGGCAAATCCCGCTCGCATAGCTGACGTTGGCAGGCTTAGTAGTAGCAGTAGTCGGGTCTGCACCGCCCTGGTCGCCCTCAATCGCCTTCACCGCTTCATCGAGCTCTTTCTGCTGCTGCTGAACGAGGACAGAGATTGTGCTCAGCAACGCTTCTGCCAGTTCACCAGACATGGAGAACGACTTTTGGCTCTGTGGACAATGAAGTATTTGCGGGTCGAGAGCGCGAAATCGCACGCCGTCAATGAAGAATAAAGGTCTCCGTTGCTCGCGTTTAGCCGATCTCCCAGCCTCCGACGACTCGAGTTGTGCAGTTGGAGTATAGAGAGAAACAGGGACGTGAGTAGCTGACTCAGCTTTTTGCAGAGAAATATTGAAACTCAACGTTAAATTAGAGAATATGTATGACGTCACTAGGTGTGCAAAGTTCAGAGGAGTGCCGTGAGAGAGCGCGATGGCGGAGAGTGCGGGGCAAGCTGTGCCTCCGAAGGCCCCCGTGAAGGGAATCTTGAAGAAAGGAGAGAGAACCTCCAAGAAAGGTGTTGGAATTGAAACGCCGAGAGAAGGGTATGACACACGTAGAACTACGTCCCCCGTGCACTAAACAGAGCGTTTGGCTTGTGCTGTTTGCAGGGAGAAGGCGGGCGCGATCCAGTGGGACGAGCTGAACATAATGATGACGGAGCACCCGGAGGGGAAGGACTACGGCCACATGAAGATAGATGAGCCCAAGACTCCCTACAACAGACAGGAGGACTCGGGTGACGAGGGGGGAGAAGGGAAGAAGACAGACTTTCCAGATGAGCTGGCACAGAGGTGGGCTTTATTGGCGAACATGTAAACACTCCCTCGGATCGTAAGTCAAGTAGAGTCAGGCATGACATCAATGTCCTACAGTTAAACCTCCGAATAAAGGACACCTCTGTATAAAGACACTTGTCTGCCACATACATACCTCAGAGTAAGGGGCTCTGATGGGGAGTTTTGTACATGTATGGGCTATGATGGGGAGTGTTTGTCTATCATGGGCTATGATGGGGATGTAATGGGCTATGATGGGGAGTGTTTTGTACTGTATAGGCTATGGGGATTTTGTACATAATTATGGGCTATGATGGGGAGTGTTTTGTACCTATAGGCTATGATGGGGAGTTTTGTACATAATTATGGGCTATGATGGGGAGTTTTGTATGTATGGGCTATGATGGGGAGTTTTGTACATAATTATGGGCTATGATGGGGAGTTTTGTATGTATGGGCTATGATGGGGAGTTTTGTACATGTATTGGCTATGATGGGGAGTGTTTTTTTATGCATGGGCTATGGTATAGGCTATGATGGGGAGTTGTGTATGTGTGGGCTATGATGGGGAGTTTTGGACAGTGAAACATCTGAATAAGGGACACCTTTGGGACGTTGAAAGTTTCCTCTATTCTGAGACGTCCAGTGTACATACTACACTAGTATGGAGCAGAGCCAAGAAATTTCCATTGTACGGTCTATTATGAGGGTCCTTTTTCGGAGGTCTCACTGTATATACAAGTATGTACATAATAATACCATGAAGTGTTAATGTAGGGTGACAGAGGCTGCAGAGAAACCGAGAGCTAGTCGGTGGGAGGACTCCAGTGAGAATGAGGTTGACCCTGATGACCTTTTGTCAGAGGAACAGATAGGTGAGTGGGAGGAAGACAGGGGTGGGGGAGGAGACGATGAGGGAGGGTGGGGTTATGTATATATGTGAAGAGAGACAAATACAGAGTAGAACCTCCGAACAAGGGATACACTGAAGCATTGAAAAGGTTTCCTTTGTAGAGAGGTCGTCCCTATCTCAGAGGTTCCCACTGAATGTGTGGGTGTGCACTGGTGTTTGCCAAATGCACAGATTACTTTGGGAGCTTAATTCTCTCTTATAAGTCAACATCCTGCCTCGAGCATTGAATAAGAAAATTAGAGGACGGTGTTGCAGTCTCATGTTATTATCCTCAGAACACAAGAGAAAGTTCCGTGAGTGGAGAAAGCAGCACTACGACGAATTCCTTGCACGTAAAAGAGCCCGGGAACGGAAGAAAGTGAGAAAATACATAAATCATGCTACGAACTGAAGCTCACTTCTTGTTAACCTTCGGTGTGCATGCGCAGCGAGGGTTACAGTCCTTAGTTTGTGTGTCTGTTAGCATATTTTCTGCCACTGGGTGCAACGAGAAGCTATGCCAACAGGTTCATCGCTACATTGGCTTGATTTTATAACTGGTGATTTTAAATAATGCTGCCTTCAACTTACGGCGTTAGCAAGTAAACAAGCCAATATGCCATTTAGCATGGCTTACCTCGACTTGTAGCCTCCTCCGCCCGTGTTGTGCACTGTCGAGCCATCAGGGGTTACGACAACGGAGGATGAGTGTCGAGTCCCGCAATAAATAGCTGTCTACCTACATACCGTAGCCTCGTCACAGACTCTCAGCGAGCTAGCGAGAAACCACGCATCAAATCTTCAGTGGTGCCCAGCCCATCAATTAGCGGTCTACATACAGACCCGCACATGCATAATATGGGTGTTGCAGCGTGTTTTCACGCGTGCGCATTTGCCGAGGGTTTTAACTTTAGTATAATACTCTTTTCATAGTTGAAGGGCTGAGAACCAGAGTGTTATATATATCCCAGTATATAAGTATGGCAAATTGCCTAAACAGTGCAAAATATGGGTAAGGTATACTGAGATATATGGGATTTTGCAAAAGATTGGCTCCTTCCAAATTTTAATGGTAATTTCATGTCAAGGAGGTATAAATGGCCCTTTGTGGGTTACACCATTCTGGTTTTCAGCCCTTCCGTTTGTGAAGAAATGATCGATGCCTAGACAGCAGAGTAGCTCGAGTCTCACCGAGGGCAGCTTTTTTCTCGTATTATCTTGGTGTATATATAGTTGAGTTTTTACCCTTACTGTGGAAACCGCTTGATTTGCCTTACTCTTTGCAGAGGAAGGGACAGGCTGATGAAAATGACAGTGAAGAGGTGGGAAGGGACACCAGTGAGTGTATGGACACTGCAAACACTACCTAACCCTCGTGTTACACAGATTTTATCTATGTAGTCGCCAATATAATTATCATTTGGATGATATACATTTTTTTATGCTTATGAAGATTGAAAATAGAGAAATATAATATATACTCTACTGGAACCAGCCGATGCTACCAGTTACTGGGTAGAGCCATCTCTAGGACACGGATGGCCACTTCGTACCCCAGGAAACAGGCCTGCGTACAAAACAGCAACGATTAATAATGTAGGGGGATGTGTGGCAACAAATCAGAATAGGTACAACTATACCGAAAAATATATAGTCAGGCTCTAGTATATACATAGCCTCATCCCCAGGCCTACGAAGAAAGGGAGATGGGGGCTTGCAATGTTTACTTCTGTGCATGCCCCAAATACTCTGGATATCTTGCCATATTCTAACACACTGTCACCATAGTCTTTGGAGGCCAGTTGCAAGCTGACGCGTGAAGCAGATAGCATTCATAATAACCTTTCCTTACTTCAAACTTCAATCAACCAACCCTCAACTGACCTTTTGAAGATCCGTATCTATTCAACTGTGTAACTGGGTATTTAGGTCTGAGGATTTGTTTAAGAGTGTGCAGAAGCTTGTGTCTATGTACATAATATGCTAGGCAGCTATATACAGACACTGGTTTAACTAACTGCATTGGCTGGGAAGGCTCGAAGGAGGATTGGAGTTATCCCACGGAACATGGCTGTGGGTCCTTCATTTCGCATCTGAAGAGAGATTGTCAGTATAATATTCTGATCCAGCAACGTATAGTGGGTTTGATTACTTTGGTTCAAAGGATTTGTTGCCTAATATTCTTTCTTGTCAGCACATGCACCTGGACACTCAATTGCTATGGATGATAGATGATCTATGTGGTAAATGAATTTTGCCCCAACGAAAACACACTGCCACATAAATGCTAACCAGTTCTCTGAAGACATGTCTGATTCCTGTATACTGACCTTCAGGAGCTGCAAAAATATGTGAATACCAATAAACTGCAATACTGTATATAGAAATGGGCACTCTACAACAAGGACACCAAAAGGTGCTTTGTACCAATACTTCAGTGCATTAAAACCTTTGTGTTTGTTGAGGTCCACTAAATGGGGCCGTCATGCTGGGCTGGCACCAGAATGCACCAGGGTGACATATAGTCCCTCTATCTCTTCATTTTCCCTCCTGAATATGCTTCACACTTTGCCCTCCAAGTAATAGGCATGCTATTAGGATAATATATTATAGGAGGGCCCAGCAATTATATCTCACTCTGTGTCATAAAGGCAAGGTGCTACATAATTATATACAGTGGCTAACCAGTTTGGAATCTTGACTTGAGCACATCAGGACCGATTGCCCAACCCCAGTTGGCCATCCCTGCCACGCCCCCTGCCAGCAACACCCGCCCCGGACTCAGATCCTTCCGACTGACACACACACACAAAATCATTCATCTCCTGACGCTCAGTTACAATGTGTATCCGTTAGTTATACAGTGGAACCTCTGATAATGGACCCTCTTAAATAGGGATGACCTCACTGCAAGGGACAAACTCGTTGGCCCCATAGTGTCCCTTGTTCATTCTACTGTATTCGGATTTTTCAACGCCTAATGCACATTCCTTAGTCTCGCGAACCAGTAATTTTCTGCATTAAGTTTGGCCCACGAGACTAAAAAACACACCACGTAAAAAAAACTTCACGTAAATTTTCATTCTACAAATTTTAAACAAATTTCCTCCAACAAAAAAATCTGCTATATATAATGGTATATAGTCAGGCTCTCTCTCACCTTTTCCCTTCTGGAGTCAACCAGTTGAGCAGAAATTCATAGCCACCAAAGTACAGTCCTGAAGCCGGTACATCTGTTGATGGTTAGAAGGTATTACGCAACAGAACCTCCGATAAAGGACACCCCAAATAGAAGAGACAACCTCTGAGTCAAGGACACCCCAAATAGAAGAGACAACCTCTGAGTCAAGGACACGCTTTGAGGTCCAAATGCTCACATTCCTATCATCCTAATATATACATACATTTTCACCACACAATAGAAGACATCCTTCCTATAAAGGTCAAAATTCCTGGTCCCAAGGTGTCCATTATTACAATATTCCATTACTAATATCACAGACGGCAGAAGAGAAATATCCACCGTACGTACCTCTGAGGAGTGTGGCAGCAGTTCCTCTGTAGACACTCCGTATCCCTCCCTCTCTGAACAGCTGTCTGGCACAGTCCATGGACCCCGAGTACTTGGCCTCGCCCTTCATTGATTGCTGGATCTAGCATACAAACAGTAACACTTCAAAAACCTTTGAGTGAAAAGATTTCAGCAAAAAAGCAAAGGTGGTAAGCTGGACAAATACGTCTGCAAAAAAAATATTTTGAAGGGTGGTTGACTGGTATGCATGGCATGCTAACTTCCATGGATTCACAATGTAGTACTGAACACAAAAATCCACTCACATCACTAAAATGTTTTGTGTAAAGTTTCAGTGGAACCTTCGAACAAGGGACACTATGGGATCAATGATTTTGTCCCTTGCAGAGAGGTCGTCCCTATCTCGGAGGTCAAGTAATACACTAAAGTACGTATTAGCATAGGGTTGAAACATGTGTCCCTTGTAGAGAGATCGTATCTATAATATCTTGGAGGGTACCTTATCAGAGGTTCCACTGTCTGATATTGTGTTGGTAAATACAGTACATGTATATACCTAACCTGCATGAGACACTTGATCCTCTCACCAGGTGCCATGATAACAGTTGTCATCACTCCAGCCACCATTCCAGCATTGAAATGCTGCAGCAGTCTAATCAACAGAAAATCACAGGGTAGTCTCGCAGCAGTCTAATCAACAGAAAATCACAGGGTAGTCTCGCAGCAGTCTAATCAACAGAAAATCACAGGGTAGTCTCGCAGTCTCATGCCCAGATCCCACCCTCAAGAGAGCATCTTGGACACACATTTTGTTCATGGAAACACTAGCTGCATTACAAATGATTGCATAACATCAGGCGATGTTTCACATTTGCAGATACTACAATCTGATTGGGTGCCTGACTGCCAAGTCGGCATAACCAAGAATAGTTACCAGACCCCTTTCCTCTCCTGGGGGCGGGGTCTAAGCTTATTAGGGGGGTGAGCAAGCCAAACTTGAATTAGAATGTGGTCCTATGGTGTGCAATCTTAATGTACTAAGTTGACTAAGTTGCTGATTTCAAGGGGGGAGAAGAGATTAAATGGGGGAGGGAGTGGGGAAGATTCCCCCTCGTAGAAAACACCCTGCTTGTAATCACAGTGGACCTACGAGAGCTCCTGATTGGGTGACTTTGTCTGCAGTTGTTTGCCCACACCGTAGCCAAAGAAGCAGATTGAGTACATTGGAGTCACTCCTATCAGTGGGGCCAGCATCCCCCTGTACAGTCCTCGGACACCCTGTGTGTGTGTGTGTGGAGAGAGAAAGAGAGAAAGAGCAAGACAGAGAGAGGGAGAGAGAAGGAGAGAGAGGGAGAGATGTAGGGAGGGTAGAGTGTAAGTTAGTTAGCAAACGCTTCGTCTTGTATGTATGGGTCAACCAGCTTCCATTTTATGTGCAATGCTAAGAGCATACAGGGACGTTGTGTGCGTGTGCGTGTGCATGTGTGTGTGTGGAGAGAGAGGGAGAGAGAGGGAGGGCGGGTAGAGTGCGTCCGTTTATGTATGGGTCAACCGGCTTCCATTTTATGTGCAATGCAAAAACTCTAAGAGCATACAGGGATGTGTGTGTGCGTGTGCGTGTGCATTAGTGTGTGTGTGTGTGTGTGGAGAGAGAGGGAGAGAGAGGGAGGGCGGGTAGAGTGCGTCCGTCTATGTATGGGTCAACCGGCTTCCATTTTATGTGCAATGCAAAAACTGTAAGAGCATGTAAGGCCACTAAATGCCAGTTTATTCTACACCGATGATACGTACGGCAGACAGAAGTCTCATGTGCATTATGATAGTGTACTAGCACTTGTATGGACTGTACTGTAAGCTTGTACATGTGTAAAGCAAGGAGACAATTGAACCTGGCAACACAGCAACATGCCATGGCCATGGGATCAGCGCATACAAAACTGGACATACCTCGTGTCTGACCGTCTGTAGTGCACAGTCTAAGGTACCCTTGAACTGTGCCTGGCCAGGCTGCTGCGTCTGCAGACGGACCTGGACAGAAGAGGAGCCAGAGAACTAACCAGTGGCTGGAACAACCGGAGGACTCGCCTACCTTGATAGTGTCCAGAGGGTGCCCCGTTATCACCAGACATATTCCTCCTACCCCTCCGGCCAGCAGGTTCGTGACAGGTCCAGGCTGGGCCCTTGCAGGCTTCTCTGCCGTCTCGTTTCCAGCAGTCATTACAGCCCTGCCCTGAACCTGAGCTTTTTCGTCGTGACCGAAGCGAGGATCAAAGGTGAGATTGACCTTTTTGAAATTACACTTCTCGCTCTGAAAACGCTAATTTAGAGCACGCGTTAATATAGCGAACTTTGACCCCTGCGCTAAACCACATGATCCGAGATGCGCAGCTCAGCTTCAAAGAAGCTACACCAACGTCTTCATTAGTGGCGCCTGAGTCCGCCATTCAGAGTCAATCAGAAACATGGAGCCTCTGAGAAGCGAGGAACAAGTTGTAGACGGCGGCGAGGGCCGCAGCAGCGCCAGTGACCAGTCGTCTCTCTCGCCCGCGTCCGGTTTCAACTCTCCGGACGGTCTTGGGGCGCCCGGGGATTACTGCCAGCAGGTCTGTGTGTGTAGCCGCGTAGCTAGATAACTATGTGTGCCCCTCAGGCTCAAGCACTATTCTTCCTGTTGCACCATCGAGCTAATATCGTGCACGCTTGTCGTGTCTTTGTCCCAGCTGTAAGTCTATTCTATATATACGTAGTCCTAAAAGACTTCGCGCGTCGTGTGGCGCCACCTGGATTGAGTGAGACAGTAACCCTCTTAGGTGGAAAACCCACTCACGCAGGAGTATAATAGGAAGACCATTCTCAAGTTAGCGCGTAGAGAGGGCCACAGGAGCCAGCCTTGTTTCCCAGTGGGGCCAGTGAGAGTGTGTACATCTATACCATGACAACAGGCTGGGTGGTTATGCATTTGAATTAGTGGGTCTTCTTTCTCACCATGTGTTGTGGTATATTGCATTCTTTCAGACATGTACATATACAATGTCATTGGTTGGAGGGCGGGTGTGAAGCCTATTGCTATAGGCTAACATATCACACTGTCATAGTGCTGTTGTGCTGCTCTGTCTTTGCACAAACTCCAGCTATGCTATTTCCCCAGCTGGGAAAGGCATGATCAGGGCAGTCTTCCAGTGAAGGGTTTGGTTAGTCTGAAAGGGAGGGAGTTGCTGCCTTAAAACTCTTAGAGGTTTCACTGACATTGTATGACCAAGCTACACAATCCTGATGCTGCTTCCATCAAAAGAAATTCTCTTTGATGTTCTGCTAGCACTGCAGAGTGAAGGATAGTATCCCTATAGTGTTGCTTCTCTCCTGCACATTCCTGTCCATATACGAGCATGTCCTTCATGGGTCCTCTATCCCACCTCCCCCTCTTACTCCATCCCTTCATCCCTCTCTCCTCTCCCCCCTTCGCCATCCCGGTGTGAAGCGTAATGTGGCATGCACTGTTACATTAAGAAATAGTTGCTCAATCAAGAAGGTTGCATTGCCGAAAGTCACTACACAAATCCCTGGTACCACATAGAAAGTGAAATGTGATCAATGCCTAGTCTTGTACATGTATAGGTCGTCCCTTCTCCCCCTCCAACCACTTTGTGTGGCTTTCATGTCCACTAGCCTAGTAAAATCTGATCTGATTCTGACTTACTTACAGTGCAACACAATAATACACACAGTACCACAAGTACCACACTGGGTGCTGGATGGCTCGTGCAGATACAGTCATTGTGTGCTCGCTCCTGCTCGCCAAAAATGCCATGCATTCGCCTACTAGTATGATGTACATAGTAGTACAGGTCATCAGATTTATTTTCCATCAAACCCTCTGACTTTCTCCCTCCCTCTTTCACTCACGTACACTCGCTCCCTCTCACTCCCTCCCTCTCACTCCCTCCTCTTCCCCTCTTCCTCCCTCCCTCCCTCCCTCCCTCCCTCTTCCTCCCTCCCTCCCTCTCTCCCTCCCCTCCCTCACTCCTTCCCTCACTCCCTATTCCTCCCTCCCTATTCCTCCCTCCCTATTCCTCCCTCCCTATTCCTCCCTCCCTATTCCTCCTCCCTCCCTCCCTCCTCCCTCCCCTCCCCTTCCTCCTCCTCACTCCCTCCCTCCCTCCCTCCCTCGATCAGGTGTTTGCGCTCTGCGACCCAGAGGGGAGAGGCTACTTAACCAGGGACACCCTCTCCAGATTCTGTGACAGGAGAAACTCGGTCCTGGACTCCATCATGAGTACTCTCGACCATGACAAAGATGGCAGGATCTCGTACGAGGAGTTCAGAGAAGGTTTTGAGGTTAGTGGAACCTCCGATAAGGGACCCTCTGAGATAGGGACGACCTCTCTACAAAGGACACTTGTTTCAACCCCATGCTAATACTTTTAGTGTATTATTGAACCTCCGAGATAGGGACGACCTCTCTACAAGGGACAAAACCAGCGGCCCCATAGCGTCCCTTGTTCTTTCACCGTACGTGTATGTATGTATGTTAACAACGAAGTCAGAGCGAAGCAAAGGGGAATGCAGCTAAACCTGTAGGACACCTCTCGTTTTAAAGGCCACCCTAGGTAGGATTTGAACCTGCACACTCTGCAGTCTAGTATATACACACATTATACTGTACATTGTGTGTCCGATGTACACCATCCATTGCGTGTATGTATAGTGTTTTGACTTGTGTACATATGTATACTGTTTGTGACTCTCTTCTGTTGCGATTTTGTGTGTACGTAACTTGTTTTCATAATCTTTGGCAGAGGTTTGCATGTACATCTACAGTACATATGGGTCTGTTTAGATGATGAAACTTGTCTCCAATAGAATTCTGAAAAAACAGCCGATCTTGTGTGTTTGTGCTGCAAGGAACTGATATCCGTGACTGTAGTAGCAAGCTATCAAACTGCTATATCCCTCAAGCTATCAAACTGTATATCCCTCGTGAATATCGTATAACAAATCAGCAGCATATTATTCTTGCACCATAACCTGTTCGTTTCTTGTAACCAGCGAGATTGTTGTATTAGAGAGTCAGCACAGCAATATCCTATACTTCAGGAGGGTCAGGTTTTCCAAGGATGTGCTCCTTAATATGAGCCTTAATTATACAAAAACTATACCCAAAATGCCTCGCTATAATAATTATGATAGTCAAATGGTGCCAGTAGCATCTCTGTAGCCTATATTGGATGATTTTTGGTCTGCATGCCACTGTGATTGATGTCTTTATTGTTGACCATGTCACTGGCTGTACTGTGACACACCCTTTTGTTGTACACACACGTGATAAAGTGTGTGCAAGGCAGTGTGTGTAAGATCCCTCTTTTTCACCTCCTCTTACTCCCCCTGTGACCTTCTTAAAACTTTTCTCTCTCTCTTTCCTTCTCTTTCTTTTGTTATCCTTTTCTCTTCTCTCAAACCATCACCAACCTTCCTCTCTTCTTTCTTTTCATCTCTTCTCCCTTTCTCTTTCCTTCTCTCTTCTTTTGTCTTTGTCTCTCCTCTCCTGTCTTCTTCTCTTTCTTTCTCTCTTCTCTTTCTCTCTCCATGTGTTTCTCTCCCTCCTCCTCTTCTTGTCTTCCTTTCTCTCTCCTCTTTCCCTCCCCATGTCTCTCTCACATCTCTCCCTCCTCTCTCTCCTGTCTTCTTCTCTTTCTTTCTCTCTCCTCTTTCCCCTCCCCATGTCTCTCTCACATCTCTCCCTCCTCTCTCCTGCCTTCTTCTCTTTCTTTTGCAGAGCTACAGTCACAATTTCCTGCTGGCACACGGTGCACACATGTCAGACGAAGACCAACACGAGGGGGGAGGGGGGAGGGACGAAGAGGAACCACTACCGACCGATGCCCCTACGAATGGACCGATAACGTCGACACCGGTGTTGTTGCCTGTGGGGGTGAGGCAGGAGGACGTGTGGGAGAGTGAGGGGGCGAGGGGGAGGGGGGAGGGAGAGGAGGAGGACAAGTGGGGTGCTGTGGCCGAGAAGATTGATCCAGACGATCTCCTTGGAGGGTTAGTTACCTACATACATACCTAGTTAACCCTCAGTGTGCCTGTGCAGTGAATGTTCAGTACTTGGTCTGTGTGTCTGTCTGTCGACGCCAGTTTGCACTCTAGTGCTTTTACGTTACTCATTGGCTAGGGAAGCCAGGCCACTTAGTCGTCTGGATTGCACATTTTTACACGGGAACTCAGGAGTTAGCTTCAGTTGTTATGTTCACAATAGACTAAGTACACGTAAAACTGTGTATGATTTCACACTCGTGTTCGTTAATTTGCCAATAAAGTGTTACATTTGTTCTAGTGATATACCTCGTATCTACCTTACGGTACCCTATTCATTGTCCACTTGGCAAGAGAGAAAACTATTTTTAGTGGAGAGTATAATACTACTGTAAGATACAGCCTTGCCTCTCTACCTACGTAGGTTGCCTAGCTGCGCCTTTTGTGTGTGTGTGTGTGTGTGTGTTAACTAGTTAGCCCTCGGTGGGCATGCACAGCGAGGGTTACAGTACTCGGCCTTTGTGTCTGTGTTTGTCCGGCAGATGAGGGGAGAGTGAAAAAAGCACAAATGGAAGCTTTATGACCTAATACAATAGAACGGAACTATGCAGTTATATGACACACAATGAGAGGGGATATTCGGTTTTTGGCTGTCAGTCTAGAAAAGCCATTCTGTGTCCTGTGATCACATCTGGGCCCTGCATTTCTGGCTCTGTGACATGTTGACACAACACGCCACTGATAGCCACTGCATCAACATACCTTCTGTAACTCCATTCTCTCTTGGAGATGTTTGGTGGCTTACGTGTGTATATACACAAAATGCGAGTGAGCTTCCTCCATACATTGTAACACATTGGGCTGTTAAGTGGCATAGTACAGTATATATGTCTGCTGCTGGGTTACTACTTGGTGTTGCTGCTGGTTACTATGTAGGATGTGGTAGAATTAGCAGCCAGGCTGGGTAACTTTTAGGTAGCTTTAGGGGGGCATCTGTTTTATTGGCACTGAGAGAGACTGTGAAAGTATGCGTGTGTGTGTGTGTGTGTGTGTGTGGGGGGCCACATCCTTTTACAAAACGTTTCTCCACTATTACGGTATTGTGGGTGCAGGACTGCGGTGGGTAAGGTGTGAGTTGGTGGCCAGGTAGCTAGTAGAGAGGAGAGAGAGGAGAGACTAGTGACTAACTGTGTACTACGTACAGGACTGAGGTGGGTAGGTGGCCAGGTAGCTACATGGTAGAGAGGAGATAGAGAGAGACTAGTGACTAACTGTGTGCAGTACTGAGGTGGGTAGGTGGCCAGGTAGCTAGTAGAGAGGAGATAGAGAGTGACTAGTGACTAACTGTGTGCAGTACTGAGGTGGGTAGGTGGCCAGGTAGCTACATAGTAGAGAGGAGAGAGAGAGAGACTAGTGACTAACTGTGTTCCACTACAGGACTGAGGTGGGTAGGTGGCCAGGTAGCTAGTAGAGAGGAGATAGTGAGAGACTAGTGACTAACTGTGTGCAGTACTGAGGTGGGTAGGTGGCCAGGTAGCTACATAGTAGAGAGGAGATAGAGAGAGACTAGTGACTAACTGTGTGCAGTACTGAGGTGGGTAGGTGGCCAGGTAGCTAGTAGAGAGGAGATAGAGAGAGACTAGTGACTAACTGTGTGCAGTACTGAGGTGGGTAGGTGGCCAGGTAGCTAGTAGAGAGGAGATAGAGAGTGACTAGTGACTAACTGTGTGCAGTACTGAGGTGGGTAGGTGGCCAGGTAGCTACATAGTAGAGAGGAGATAGAGAGTGACTCACTGTGTGTAATTACTACAGGACTGAGGTGGGTAGGTGGCCAGGTAGCTAGTAGAGAGGAGATAGAGAGTGACTAGTGACTAACTGTGTGCAGTACTGAGGTGGGTAGGTGGCCAGGTAGCTACATAGTAGAGAGGAGATAGAGAGTGACTAGTGACTAACTGTGTTCAACTACAGTACTGAGGTGGGTAGGTGGCCAGGTAGCTAGTAGAGAGGAGATAGAGAGTGACTAGTGACTAACTGTGTGCAGTACTGAGGTGGGTAGGTGGCCAGGTAGCTACATAGTAGAGAGGAGATAGAGAGTGACTCACTGTGTGTAATTACTACAGGACTGAGGTGGGTAGGTGGCCAGGTAGCTACATAGTAGAGAGGAGATAGAGAGTGACTCACTGTGTGTAATTACTACAGGACTGAGGTGGGTAGGTGGCCAGGTAGCTACATAGTAGAGAGGAGATAGAGAGTGACTCACTGTGTCTAATTACTGCAGGACTGAGGTGGGTAGGTGGCCAGGTAGCTACATAGTAGAGAGGAGATAGAGAGTGACTCACTGTGTGTAATTACTACAGGACTGAGGTGGGTAGGTGGCCAGGTAGCTACATAGTAGAGAGGAGATAGAGAGTGACTCACTGTGTGTAATTACTACAGGACTGAGGTGGGTAGGTGGCCAGGTAGCTACATAGTAGAGAGGAGATAGAGAGTGACTCACTGTGTGTAATTACTACAGGACTGAGGTGGGTAGGTGGCCAGGTAGCTACATAGTAGAGAGGAGATAGAGAGTGACTCACTGTGTGTAATTACTACAGGACTGAGGTGGGTAGGTGGCCAGGTAGCTACATAGTAGAGAGGAGATAGAGAGTGACTCACTGTGTGTAATTACTACAGGACTGAGGTGGGTAGGTGGCCAGGTAGCTACATAGTAGAGAGGAGATAGAGAGTGACTCACTGTGTGTAATTACTACAGGACTGAGGTGGGTAGGTGGCCAGGTAGCTAGTAGAGAGGAGATAGAGAGTGACTCACTGTGTGTAATTACTACAGGACTGAGGTGGGTAGGTGGCCAGGTAGCTCTAGTAGAGAGGAGATAGAGAGTGACTCACTGTGTGTAATTACTACAGACTGAGGTGGGTAGGTGGCCAGGTAGCTACATAGTAGAGAGGAGATAGAGAGTGACTCACTGTGTGTAATTACTACAGGACTGAGGTGGGTAGGTGGCCAGGTAGTACATAGTAGAGAGGAGATAGAGAGTGACTAGTGACTAACTGTGTGCAGTACTGAGGTGGGTAGGTGGCCGGAGCTAGTGAGAGGATGAGAGTGACTATGACTACTGGTGCAGTAGAGGTGGGTAGGTGGCAGAGCTACTAGTAGAAGAGATAGAGAGTGACTCACTGTGTGTAATTACTACAGGAATGAGGTGGGTAAGGTGTGGGGAGAGCTGGCCAGCAGGGACCCCAGTCTCCTGGAGCCGTTTGAGCGGTTCCTGAGTGGAGTCATGTCTGAGCTGAAGCAGTCCCAACACGACAAGGAGAAACTGGAGACACACATGAAGAGGTGTGGCCTTCTCTCTCCCTCTTTCATTACTCTCACTTTCTTCCCTCTCTCCTGTCTCTCCCTCTTCATCCCCCCCCTCTCTCTCTCTTTCTGTCTCTTTTTTTACCTTTTCTTTTTCTTAGCTTCTTTCTGCCTAGCACTTTCTTTGACTCCTTTCACATTACTAAATTTTCATGACTCCGTAATGGTATGAAACACTGTGCACCCAGTAAATCAACAGTAGTTCTCCTACTTACAAACACCCTTTCAATACTTCATATGGGATCAAGAGTTTTGATTACTTTTCTTCTTGTTTACTTTATCCTGAGAGGAACACTGAACATGCATACATACGTAGCTAGCTGTATGGCGTGAAATATTTGGGGAGAAAAGATTATATAGATTTCGTAGTTCAAGAGCACATTGCTTGCTACTGAATGTGTGCGAGAGTTTTCTCACTAAAGGTTTCCTGATTAGCAGTATTCCATGTTGTAACCTGATCTACAGCAGAACAAGGGACACTATGGGGCCAACAATTTGTCCACAATGTGTAGAGAGGCAGTCCCTATCTCAGAGGTCAAATAATACACTAAAGTATTAGCATGGGGTTGAAACAAGTGTCCCTTGTAGAGAGGTCTTCCCTATCTCAGAGGGTCCCTTATCAGAGGGTCCACTGTACTTTCCATCCCCACACCACTGACTAATTGGTGGATGATTACCCACAGAGCAATGGACCAGCACAACAGAGAGGTAATGGAGATGGAGGACCTTCTGGAACAACACCTCAGTGAGGTCCAGGAAGACCACCAGATCAAGGTCAGAGACCACACCCCCTGCCACACCCACTAATGTGACTTTTACCCTCTGGCACACTTAATTTGATTAGACCACGCCCTCTACCACACCAAGGGTTTACAATTCAGACACTTCATGCTGCCTAATAATTGATTGTAGAGCAATACCTAATGGAAACATCAGTGTCCTCTATGGTGGTAGTATATACATAACTGTTTGGCAGAACAAAGTGTTTTTATTATTTTTTTTTATAGAGAGGTGTCCTTAATTCGGAGGTTTCGTTGTTGTGTGTAGTCTTGTGTCCTTTGTTGGGAGTGTCCTTTATCAGAGGAGGTTCTAGTGTACTACCTCGAGCCACTGTATAGTACATACATACATACATACACTCTCATGACACTAGTGCATTATGTGTGCAGAGTCCTTGGCTTTCACTGTTACTGTGTGTGTATGTGTGTATGTTTGTATGTGTGTAGAGTCCTTGGGTTGCACTGTTACTGTGTGTGTATGTGTGCAGAGTCATTGGCTTTCACTGTTACTGTGTGTGTATGTGTGTATGTGTGCAGAGTCATTGGCTTTGACTGTTACTGTGTGTATGTTTGTATGTGTGCAGAGTCATTGGCTTTCACTGTTACTGTGTGTGTATGTGTGTATGTGTGCAGAGTCCTTGGGTTGCACTGTTACTGTGTGTGTATGTGTGCAGAGTCATTGGCTTTAACTGTTACTGTGTGTGTATGTGTGTATGTTTGTATGTGTGCAGAGTCATTGGCTTTCACTGTTACTGTGTGTATGTTTGTATGTGTGCAGAGTCATTGGCTTTCACTGTTACTGTGTGTATGTTTGTATGTGTGCAGAGTCATTGGCTTTCACTGTTACTGTGTGTATGTTTGTATGTGTGCAGAGTCATTGGCTTTCACTGTTACTGTGTGTGTATGTTTGTATGTGTGCAGAGTCATTGGCTTTCACTGTTACTGTGTGTATGTTTGTATGTGTGCAGAGTCATTGGCTTTGACTGTTACTGTGTGTATGTGTGCAGAGTGCTACAAAGACGCAGCTGCTGTCCAGTAGGTTCCAGGCGTTGCTGGCCGCGAGGGACCAGGTGATCCACCAGCTGGCGGACAAGGAGACCAGACTCAAGAAGGAACTCCAGAACAAGTCTCGCAGCGAAGAGAGACTCATAGAGGAGAGAGAGGGCCTGCTCAAGGTATGAATCAGGGGGTAAAAAACAAGAGCATATTAAAACAGGACAAAACTGTTCCAAAGAAAGAAGAGCTGCCCTGGGTGGGACTTCAGGTAAGAAGGCATCTACGTGGCTTCCTACCCTGCGGAATAGAACAGAGTTTCGTGGGTTCGAGTCTCACATTGGGCAGCTCTTTTCTTTGAAAAAGGTGTTGCCCTATGTAGTTGATATGCACATGCCTGTGTTTTACACTGCCATGAACACAGTCCCAACTTGTGCTAGAGTGTGTGTGGTAGGTTTTCATACATGTAACAGTACACAGTCACATTAAACCCCCACCCTCTTTACCCTCCACTTGTCTGGCAGGCCAACTACCTGCTGAAGGACCAGATGGACAAGTCACTAAGGTCTCTGTCTCTCTCCCGACGGGCCGTCAAGAAAGGTCTTCATCGGTCGGCCACCGTGGAGGGGGGCCCTAACTCTCTCCAGGGGAGTGTGGAGGTCCACCACTCCAGGCAACTACCTGCAGTACCTGTCTCTGGCAGTCCACCTGTTCAATACTTCCCTCCTAAGAAGAGCCCTCGGTCAGTGTACACCCAACCACACACCTTACTGTGTATGGAGTATACACCCTACCGTTAACATGAGAAAACCTTTGAAAATTGCGAATGTTCTTCCCTTGAAAGTAAATTTTGTCCTCTATATGGGATAATTCAAGTTGATAATGTGCTCTCACTCCCTCCCTCCCTCCCTCTCCTCCAGTCACAGCTCCCCACAAACCAGCATTCCTCGAGAGTTGTCACGGGAACTGGCCGAGTCCTCAGACCACACCCCCTCCAGTCGGGAGACCACACCCCGCCCACACGTCCAGGGTGAACCGGCCGAGGGGACCGGCGAGAGGAAAGAGGCAGAGGTGGAATTTAGTCTGGACCCCCATATTGAGGGGTTTGAAAGTCGACCCCCCAGCCGTGTCCTAAAGACCAGTGCGGACGCCACTCGAGACAAAAACCTTCACCACGAGCTATACCAGCACGACCCTTCTCAAGCCCCACCCACTGATGATCCTGGGTCACATGACCCTCACGTGACAAAAGCCACACCCACCAACTCCGCCCTCTCTCACCTGACCAACGACATTCTCACGTACAGCAGCCAGGTTTCCCGGGGGACACCTGCTGCGACATCGTCGGTCTCTCAGTCGACATGGTTACCTAACAGGAACGAGGTACAGCGATCGTCTTCTCCCATGGCCGTCAACAGAGTCTTCAAGGTTGTCTTTCTCGGTGAGCTCGTCACGGCCGTAATACACAACGAACAAGTTTGTTGTGTGAGACAGTTTAATGTATGGGTATGATAGACTGTGCAACAGGAAGCTATTACCTTCATGAAACATGTTGCGCCATCATGCCCATACATTTGATGTTGCATGCATCTCTGTCTCATACAACAGAGTTGTACCCTGTATCGGGGGGGGGGTTCCATTTCATACACCTCCACATTGTAGTTTTTGAGGCGTCTTCTTGAAGGTAGTCACTCCCCTCCCTCCACAAATTTCACCACCTCCAATCAAATTCTCTGTTTTCATTTGTCTGACTGCTCACTTACCAAATTTGACCGAATCCGGACTGCTATTACTTAGTAAAACAGCAGTGTTTTGCTCCTACCAGCGAATCTATGTACTTGTATGTATAAGTTCTACATACATATCATATAGTGTCTGGTCCACAGACCACTTTCAGAGTTACTGAGTTTTCTGCAATGCTAAAGAATATACCCCGAAACCAAGATTCACCCCTACACTTTGTTTCTTGCATGGACCTCTTCCTAAGAGTATTATATCCAGCTTCTCCCCTCTCCCCTCTCTGTCTTGTCCCCCCTCCTCCCTCCTTGTCTCTCTACAGGTAACAGCGGGGTTGGAAAGACGTCGCTAATCGTGAGGGTGTGTCAGGGTCAGTTCGCCCCCGTCTCCTCCACCCTGGGCCTCGACTTCTGCACCAAGACACTCACAGTGGGTGAGGAGAGGGTCATCTTCCAGCTCTGGGACACCGCCGGACAAGAGAGGTAGGTCACATGACTGTCATGTGATCCAGTGACTTGTTATCTATGTATGTAATCGTACATAGTGTGATGGAAGAAAACCTTAACAGATTTTGAGATCTTTGAACACCATCCACTAAGTTCTTAAACCGGTTTGTGAAGCCAGTTTGGTGCATGTGTGAAGAGTCTAAACTGGTTTAGCAACCATTTCTAGGGCCCACTTGACGAGATTGAAATCCGGGCCACAATTTAATCATGTGTGTCACTGAATTAGAAGTCCTCGTAAATGATAGCGAGCTGCATCTGCGCCTAGTAGCCTGGTGTATGTTCATACTGGCGGCTGCTTGGGCCACGTACTGTGTTAGCTCCCTCTCACTACTTGCTAAATAGCATCGGAAATGACTATATCTGATCAGCTTGTAGCGCGGGTGTTGATGCAAGGCAAGTGTGTATGCTATGAACTATAATTTCATGCATGACTCAACTAGAAATCTAAGACGTGATCTGTGTATTCAATAACAGACACAATTCTAACACATGATCTATGTTGTACACATTCACCTACACTCACTGACCCACTGTCTGTTTGCTCACACAAAGGTTCCACAATGCCCTGACGTCAGTCTACTTCCGGAGAGCAGATGCATTTGTCATTGTCTACGACGTCACCAGTAAAGAGTCGTTCAAGAGTGTTCGCAGCTGGCTCAGCATCATTACCGTACGTCCCTGTGTGTGTGTGTCTGTTCTCCTACTACTACCTTGTGGCAGCTACAGAACTTCACACACACAGACTTATATGTCAGGGGGCATGGGAAAGGGACCTATATGGCTGGAATGTGAAATTAAGTTTTTGAGGGTGAAACACCACAAAAACTTAATTTTCACATTCCAGCTATATAGATCCCCTTTCCCATGCCCCCTCACATATACAGGTTTTCTAGCAGGTAAACAAGTGCAGTGTCACACCCTAGAAATCATGGGAGCCTTGAGAAGTGAAAACTTCCTGCCACATTTGACTATTATTATACACCCTGTAGACTTGTTATTAACCCTCGGCGCGCATGCGCAGCGAGGGTTACGGTAGTCGTTCTGTGTGTCTGTCTGTCTGTCTGTGTGTGTGTGTGTATGTCAGTGACTAGTCTCGCACTATGGCCTACTAGGCGGCTTATGAGCGATACCAACAGCTTTAGCGGTACATGGGCTAGAAAAATAAAATGGAGATTTTGCTGAAACGACTGCGTTCGAGAGCGACAAACTGGCACGATCGCGGACCACGTTGCGTGGCCCAACCCATCAATAAGCGGTGCGCATGCGTATATTAGACGCAATCAACGCATTAGGCTGGCTCACCTCGACCTGATCCGCTTGCTCTGTGTACCTTGGAGGCACAAGAAGCCACAGCGAAGGGTGTGTATCTACTACCGTAGCTAGCCCGTGTCAGACTCTCCGCGAGCTACTAGCGGGAGACCACGCCAATAGCCCAGCCCAGCCCATGCATTAGCGGTACCGCACATGCGTAGTTCACCGAGGGTTTGCACTTCAGTGCTTTTCATTGAACTATAGACCGTACTAATCTGCGGTTTGTTCTCTTGTTGCAGGCCTCGCTGAGGGAGCACCCTCCGGTGCTAATGTTGGTGGGGAACAAGAGTGACAGTAGTTCAGAGAGGAAGGTGACCAGCGAAGAGGGCCGCCTGCTTGCTCTGGTCAGTCACCTCTCCCTCCTCTCCCACTTCTCTTCACCTCCCCACTTCTTGTCGGCTCAATCTCTTACCTCCTGTCTCTCCCTCTTCTCTTTACCTTGTTCCCTCCCTCTCTTACTCTTTTTTCCTCCTCTCTCATCTTTCCACTCAAACATGAATAAAAACGACGTGTTGAAGCCTTTATGTAGCGTATAAACTTGGAATGCTACAATGCTAGCTTCAATGTGCATTATGGACTCATGTGACCGTGTACATGAATAGGGTCCACGTACATGGTGGTCACCACTGCTGTGATTCATGAGAATGTCCTCCTTCCTTCCTTGCTCTCATACCTCTCCACCCTAAACTGTACCCCTCTCCCAACCCCCTTTTCCCCATATGTATTTCTCAAACACTCTCCCAGGAGCTTGCATTGCATTTCACTTCTCCACTTTTTTCTCTGCTCTTTTAATATCTGCTGTGGTTTACATCTCCTCCTCTTCTCCATTCTCCCAAATCCCTGCTTCCCCCTTTCTCCCCAAACACTCTCCCCCTCTCTCCAAACACTCTCCCCCCTCTCCCCAAACACTCTTCCCCCTCTCCCCCCTCTCCCCGAACACTTCCCCTCTCCCCCCTCCCCTCTCATCCCTTCCCCAGGAGCTCCATGCAATGTTCTCAGAAATGAGTGCCCTCTCGGGGACCAACGTTCTCCAGGCTCACCAGACCCTAGCCAGCCTCCTCCTGGCCAGAGAGAACGAGGAACTCGAGAAAGCCAGGAAGGCATCTCTCCAGCTGAACGCCCAGTCTCAGAAGAGAAGGTGCTTCTGCTGAGCTGAGCTCTCTCTACTGCGATAGACACAGTGTCTTTTCAATCATTTTTCATCCATTTCCTGGTTTTTTTCTCGATTAATGTTGTATTATATATATATACCATTGTCTATAATATTATGTCTCTTTGTTATTCCCATACAATTGACAGTATTGATCATGGATTTTGCAGGCTATGAAAAGATCCCATATAACGTGACCGTCAAAAAGCTGACATTTAGGAATCTTGAATCTACAAATCTGCAATGTTAAACCCTTAGGACGCCATAGGTATATATCTCTTTCAATGAGCAGAAAATGCGATGTCGTCTATAGCCCCATAAAAATTCTTATAGGTTTATGGAGGCTCTGGACATAATATGTCAGTAGCCTCGTAAGGGTTTTAATCGTGCACTGAAAAACGTTGGTTCGACAGCAAACCTGCAACCAAAAAGGGCACTGTATCCGTTTAAAAAAATAGGACGTAACTTTTTGCCCATAATTACCTCAAATGATGTAAAATTTTTATGAACATTGAGCATCAAAAAGTGGGAAGATGTGATTGGTTGCTATGTTGTTCTTAGGTCAAAAGATTCAGCTAAAAAGTCTCTAATTAGTTCATAGAGGTGATATCTGGTGGGCTGGCCTGACAGAGAGTGAGCTTTGTCCGTGTAGAACTATAAGTCATGTGACGATAGATGACATCACTGTGTGGTCATGTGAGAGTCATGTGACACTCACCTGGACTCTGAACTGTACTTCCTTTTCTGTTAGTGCTTGTACTAGCTGCGCCGTGTTCTGGAAATGAACATTGTCTGTGAGAGAAGGGAGGGAGGGAGGGAGGGAAGGAGGGAAGGAAAAATGAAAAAGAAAGGAAAATATCTCAAGCATCTACCAACAAGGTTTCACTCACCATCTCCAGTACCATGAATGAGAAGGTAGTCCACGTCTGACAGATTACCAGCTCTATACAACACTGAGGACTCCTGCAATCACAACATAATATTGTGATGTGTCAGTAATAAACACAGTTCTATACTAACAAGGTTATAAACTCAGAACGAGCATTTTTGGCAACCGAATGCGAGCGTTACTGGGACATAATTAGCAAATGGAAACTTGGTAATTTTTTTGCCCGGTATCTTTGTGTGCAGTGTCATTGTGTGCAGCATGTCAATGAATGTAGCCAGCCATGCAATTTGGTAGTGACACTAAAATGTCGCCAATTTCTACGTATAACACTACCTCATAGGCTTGTCTGTTGTTCTGAGGAAGATCCATATAGCGCTCAGTATAGGCAGAATCTGAGAGAGAGAGAGAGAGAGAGAGGGAGGGAGGGAGGGAGGATAATCAAGATTTCTACTGCAAAACTGCTACTGGTAGTTTAACAGCTGTGCTTTGAAAAAAATTTCAAGACTTGAAACGTGTTTTACTTCCAGACTCCTTCCATCACAGTTTCTGGAAAAGTTTCGAGGTAATCTTAGTTTGAGCTGTGCTTTGCTACATCAGGTTGAACACCACAATTTAAACTAATACTGTCTGTTGAAGCCCAAAGTGCCACTTTTCTGGCGATTGTCAATTTTATCCTGCTATATTCAGAGGTGTTCACTGCTCACTATAGTAGTTCAGGCCTGTTATATCGCGAATATTCCGCTGCCACTTACCATAGTAGTACCATGTGGTAACAGGAGACTGTGATATGGCGGTTGAGAACACTCCACTGCCACTGCTACCCACCATACCTGCCATATAGCCTCCATAGGACTGTAGTAGAGAGATTCTTACGTAATACAGTGGAACCTCCGATAAGGGACCCTCTGAGATAGGGACGACCTCTCTTACAAAGGACGCTTGTTTCAACCCCATGCTAATACTTTAGTGTGTCATTTGACCTCCGAGATAGGGACGACCTCTCTACAAAGGACACTTGTTTCAACCCCATGCTATATAATACTTTAGTGTATTATTTGACCTCCGAGATAGGGACGACCTCTCTACAAGGGACAAAATTGTTGGCCCCATAGTGTCCCTGTTCAGAGGTTCCACTGTAGTTAGCACAAACTCTGATTATTGATGCACAAGGCACTTAATTATGAGGTATGGTAACATGTGAGTGCAACAAGTGGTCATGCAAACAGAACTACTCACGATGGTCTAGCACCAGCATTCTCGACAAATGACACATCTGTGTAAATTTGCAGTGTAAAACTTCCCTCCATCTCTGGTAAATATACATAATGCAACCTAAAGCTCAAGTCTTACCGATCCATAGATTGCTAGCCTTGAGCCGTCAACAAACCCCATGCTCTGTAGATACCTACAGTAAGAAGATCACGTGATCATCATGTGATGGTCACGTGACACCCCACCTTCCAGCCCTGATCTGGTCAATGGTCTCGAAATGGCCGAGGTTCTTGTACACTGCGTACTTGAAACTGAGGAGAGCACAAATCATAGAGTCGAAGCAGTAAAGATTTTTGACATGCAGCAAATATTTTTTTAGGAACAACAGCAAAAAAAGCAGTCTAAAATGTAGCCTTCTTATTTCTCTTACACACCACCACTGAGCAATAAAGGTCTTTGCACAACTTTGTTGTTGCATGAGACAAGAAAAGTTCCATGAAACGTAAAAAATGTAAGGGTGTAATGGTCCAAGGAACATGTTGTATGAATGGTTGTCTATTGCAACATGTTGTTGTGGACCAATCATAAAGTATCGGAAGGAATCGCGAAACTCCTCAGTGAGCAGGCGGCTCTTAGTGCATGTATGTTGGCCTGTTAAACACTATCACAGAGGAGTAGGGCTCGTACTTGTCTCCTCTGAAGCCGGTGCCTCTGCCATCGACCTTGGCCACTATCAGACTGAGGTTGGAGCACAGGTAGACGAGGGAGAGGGAGGAGAGGAGAGAGCGATCTGCCACCTGCGAGGAGAGAGGAAGCACAGTGGAACCTCTGATAAGGGACGACCTCTCTACAAAGGCACTTGTTTCAACCCCATGCTAATACTTTAGTGTATTATTTGACTTGTTGTTCTTTATTCAGATTGTCAGATTCCATTGTTTTATGCTACAAACCTGCTGGCTATAGGGGCCACCGTAGACGTAGACGTGTTGTAAATAGGATAAGAGGAGGAGGAGGAGGAGGGAGGGAGGGTGGAATAGTTAGCTAACCTGCTGGCTATAGGGGCCACCGTAGACGTAGACCAGGACTGGATACTGCCGTGACTGGTGGAAGTCAGGAGGCAGCATCAGTTGTCCGTTGAGACTGGGTCCCTCGGTCTCCGACTCAGGCACAGTGAACTCCTCCACTGTCGGGAGAGAGAGCTGCGAGACGGCCTCGTGGAGGACAGAGTTCGTCTCCAAGACTGACACTGAGAGGAGGAGAGATGACACACAATGAAAACAAGCCAAATTCGCACACCATTTAAAACAACAAAGGAAACTGGAGCAACAGACAATGACAGCACCTCCACCAAGCTGAATTCGTAAACCATTTACAAACAACATACAGAAACTAAGAGAGAGAGAGAGAGAGGAGGAGGAGGAGATACACAATGACAGCACATTTAACAAGCCAAATTCGTACACTAATAATATCGAACAAGATAACAGAAAGGACAGACGGAACAGCACACAATGGCGCAATAGTCAATTCCTTGCATACAGCAATTTCCTGGATGAGTGACTTAGACTGATACACAGTGCTTTTAATTCTTTGAAATTGTGCAAGAAATGGCAACAAGTGCTGTGACAGAGGAGAGCATCATCAGAGACTCATGTAACATACAAACAGAGTCAGTCCCACGAGTACAGGAGAGCTACAGATATCAAGTCAAACACAGCAGCACGTCTGCTGCAGCTGATATAATGTACAGCATCAGTAAGGCTGCAGACAGTGGTGTGACTGGTGTCAGTATGACATGTCCATGTACTGTGTCTTTTAAATTTGGCTAATCCAAGCACAATGGCTGAATTACCAAATTTTTACTGCCAAATGTGTGGCTATGCAGGTATACTATACACACACCAGGTGTGAGTGTGTCTCCATCATATTGGGCTAGGAGAGTGTAAGGAATGGCCGGTCCTGAGCATGTGAGGAGACAGTAGTCCAGGGACGGCGAACAACTGGCTGAGAAATAGTCACATCGAGACGGGATGGAGGGATTCGAGGCTGGAGAGAGAGAGAGAGAGAGAGAGAGGTTAGTGTTGCCAGAGGAGTGGAGGAGGAAAGGAGGTCAGGAGGTCAGGAGAGAGACAGACAGAGAGACTGGAGGGAGAGGGATTGAGGAGGTAAAGAGGGTAAAGAGATTTGTTCTCCAGTCATACATTTAGGAACATCCCAGTCTTCTTGTGAACAGGTCAAGCAGCTGTCACTCCGTGTACTGTAAGGATTAAGACAGAGAGAGAAAACCAGACATTGTGGGACCAGGCATTTTGTCCTTCATATGGAGGGTGTCCTCTCTTTGGAGGGTACTTGGACCTCAAAGTGTGTCCTTTTTGGGTGTCCTTTATCAGAGGTTCTACTGTATCTCCTAGTCCAATAAAATACAGTACACCACAAGGTTAGCAATAGGATACATTGGTACATCATGCTATATAATGTACACGAACCTGTACAGATGTCTCTGAGAGGGACCTCTCTTTGTACTGAGGTAGAGGCTGCATGTACAGTACACCATAGCAGGAGGAGAAAAGAATAGAAAAATACGGTGGTCATTAAAACTGTGCAGTTTCAAGTTTTAGTCCTGTGGCCAAAAGGTCGAGCAATAACACGATGCGAAATTCTACATTTGAGGCAACACCACCAAATTAAACACCCTCCAATAGTTATATATACCATTATACACAGGTCTTAGGTGTACATACATACATACATACATAATACATACATACAGGTTACATAGAGTGCACATGTGTACATTTCTTGGTTAGTAGCACGGACTATGGAGGTGTCCTCCCAGTTTCCACTAGTTCTCCAGGACACCTCTGAATCCTGAGGGGAGGAGGGAGGGAGGGAGGGAGGGAGGGAGGGAGGGTAGGCAGTATGTAGGGGTGGAGGAGACACTTAGAGGAGAGTATAATATGAAGAGGGGGAGTGATAAGAGGGTGATTGGAAAGGGGGAGGAGGGAGAGTAGGCAGTATGCATGGGGTGGAGGAGAGACACTTAGAGGAAGTATAATATGAAGAGGGGGAGTGATAAGAGGGTGATTGGAAAGGGGGAGGAGGGAGAGTAGGCAGTATGCATGGGGTGGAGGAGAGACACGTGAGGAGAGTATAATATGAAGAGCGTGATAAGAGGTTGGATGGGAATGATTGGAAAGGGTAGGAGGAGAGTAGAGAGGCGAGGAGGGAGAGTAGGCAGTATGCATGGGGTAGAGGAGAGACACTTAGAGAAGTTACAAGAACCCCTAATTCATGAAGAGGGGAGTTTACTGACTGAGAGTGATAGTTGGAATAAGGAGGGTGATTGGAAGGGGGAGGAGCTGAGAGTAGCGAGCGAGATGTCTACTAGCGTGAGATGAAGGGGTGTGGGTGAAAGTTGTGCACAGGCAATCCGGGAAAAAATATTTTCTTCTTCAAACCATGAAGTTACATAATTATACAGTATGTGGTTAGGAAGTAAGGGAAAAGATGTCTAAACTATACATACTAAATTGAAGAGGTGGAGAAGAGGGATATAATGTGGTGTAGAGAAAGAGGAAATATATACACAATCTTAGAAATTAGGAGAGTAAAGATAGGTTCACAATGTAACATATTGCCCCATCGCACCGTCCTGCGTCGCGCCACGAAGATAGAAATGGATTCTATCTTCGCGACGCGGCAACGTTGCACGGCATGGCAGGTTCATGCGACATATATTATTGTGAACATAGCCTATGTATGTAAGTGTGTGAGAACTGTTACACTGTCTTGGCTGATTTCCAGGATGTGTAGAAAGCTGTCATCTCCCTCTTTCCTTGAGGCAAAAGTGAGAATAGACCCTGCTCCATCTCCTCCTCATCCTCCAGTACAGTAGGAGACTGTACCTATAGTACACACCAGAGGTTAAGGACCACCAGAGGTAAGGACCACCAGAGGTTAAGGAGACAGAGAGTGTTCGAAGAACTAGAGCTCTGGAGAGCACATTATATCCAGGCTGGGTATTGTGTATAGTGCATGCATACACGTTGATTGATAGGTGTGGTCAAATGACCAATGATTGTACGTCAGCTTGACTTCTAGCCGTTGCGGCCCGTGTCCAAGCACAAACACACTCCTACTGACACACACACACACACACCAGTTCTATCCAGCCAGGGGTCAAAGGACTAGTCTGGGTGTAGATTGGGGTACATTGCCATGACGACGACTCCGAGTATAGACAGTACACCGCAGCGTCACTGGAGCGGTTCGTCCAGGTCACCATGGCAACGGAGGAGTTTAGCCACCCACCAAACACCAGATAGTGATCCCTGCATGCACAAAACAAAACTCAGCAACTGACACAGTATACAGTGGAACCTCGGACAAGGGACACTATGGGGCCGACGATTTTGTCCCTTGTAGGGAGGTCGTCCTTATCTCTGGAGGTCAAATAATACACTAAAGTATTAGCATGGGGTTGAAACAAGTGTCCCTTGTAGAGAGGTCGTCCCTATCTCGGAGGTCAAATAGTACACTAAAGTATTAGCATGGGGTTGAAACAAGTGTTCCTTGTAGAGATGTGGTCCCTATCTCGAGGATCCCTGCATACATGTAGTGTGACCACACATGACCTCTCTTACATACACTTGATTCTGGGTTGATTCTGCCCCACACTAATACATTAGATACCCTCTTAAAAAGGACCCCTAAAACTTTCAGAGTCCCTCATTCAGAAGCTATATACACTTTATATTGGGGAAGCTTAGCTGGCAGGGCTATCCAAGGCAAACTATCCGTGTGTGGCAATGTTTATATGTATGTATGTATTGTAATTTGTCTTCAATCTTACTGATCAGTG